TGCTCATGGTTGCTAAAGACTATTCGCTGATCCATAGCACTTTCACATCATTAACGAAGCTCGAGATCTGGCATCTGTGTTCCGGAAGAAGTTTGATCGATTGCTAGAACACCTTCCGAGGACACTCCACTCATGATGTATGGGAAGCATTCCTCATTCTGAGGGAGCACGTACTGGAGTCCAATGTACAGAAACTAGCCATGCCAGCTGAATTGAAGGATCATTAGAAGAATGGTAAAAGGAATCTTTCAAGATACCGAGGTTTAAATACTGGTCTACAGTCATTCGCCTAGTGTCTTGGTTACAGCGAAAACCGAATCCTGTGTTACTTCCAAGAAAATAGAAATTGTAAAAGAGGGCCTAGCTGCAGATACAACTATTGAGGAGAAACTATCTCTTAAGGAGGAAGCAAATCGTATTTTTTGTACGTAGGCCGACGCGTGGAGGAACGATCTCGCGAACGCATCAAGATTCTTCGAATCAGGACTGGATTTATTCTAGGCTGTTACATTTTTGTATACAAATGTTACAAAAAAAAAATTTGTCTCCTAGAATCTTCATAATATTACCAAATTTTACAGATGGACACAAATATTTATTAGTAATATGTTAAATTAAAATTGACCGTGATTATTTACTTACGTTGCATTTTATACTGATGCTTATGTTTATGTTTTTTCTTTGTCTAAACTTAAAGTTAAATATTACTCAGATTTATCAAAGTAGCCTTGTTTTTTGCTATTTATACTTATATGCTAAAATTACGAAAATTTGTCAAAACTATACTTGAATTATGGTCGCAAACGAGAATAAAATTACTCTGATTGCGAAGCCACAATACAAGTCGTTCTTAACCACTTCCGTAGATTATCATTGTTTGTTTGATGATTATATTGTAATTGTTTTAATTTTCTTTTAATAAACACGACCTTCTGTTCATTCTTCTACAAAAAAGTTGCCCTTACCTGGGCTAAATATGTTTTAAAAGTTAAATACAGATATCAAGTGGTTTATATTGGTATACTCCAAATAAAAAAGTTTCTCAATTAGACACTAATCATATTTCTAAGTTATATGTATGTTGACCAATCTCGTCTTTATAATTACCTTTTAGCTACACCGTTACTTGGGTTAAATACATTTTATTACAACTCGGTCTAGCTCTAATAAATTGGCGTTCTAACCATCTCTCTCCCGTTTCTACGTTTGAGAGTGAGCAACCCCACGCCATGTAAGAGATTTTAGGTAAATGTGAATAATTCTGGTAAGGATTTGACAGTCGTTAGAAAGCTGTCTTGGATATAATGGAACTTAATTTACTACGGTGCTTGATTTTATGTTAAAGTAACTCTAACTCCCCAATGACAGGGATATTTCTCATTTACCGTATCTAACGTATGTTGAACTTCGCTTTGATTTTAGTTTGTAATTCAATTTATAGTCGAAAGATATGGCTTCTAAATATCGTTTTCCAACATATAGAACCTGAATTAAGACATTATTTAAATAAATCAAGATGGTGTTTAGTTTTGGGTATATTAACTACATTGTATTTGTAAAAGTAAAAAATATATGGTAACAACAGAATGATCATATAAAGATAGTTCTTAGTTTTGTTGTGAATAACTCAATTTTCTTGAAACCGTGATATATTCTAGATAAATAAACAATACTATAGTTTTTAATGCACAATATATGTTTGTATATCTAGATCACCGTGAATAACAGTTTTTAAAGGTATTTCAACTGCACTCAAATACCATATAAAAACAAAACAAGATATGGCTTTAAAATGTACGTGGTTCTAAAAAATCCAGTAATAGATAGACACGGAACATAGAATGTTCTCGTTTTAACATCAACTTGTATCCAACTTCAAGATTGAACATATATAGAATAATATATATGTTTCATCAATTTGATTAATATTATTTGAAGGGTTGATCTGGCTGCAAGTGGTATTTAAAAATATACAAATAATTAAATTTATAGAAATAATTTGAAAATTCGGAAACAAATCTCAAAAATCACCCTACGAATTATTTAAGACATCCTCGAATCCCAAACAAATACTTGGAGGTTTAAAAAAAGTCTGTCATCGGTGGGATTCGAACCCAGACATCTTCGTTCTGTACAAAAATACCCTACCTCTAGACCATCACGACATTGACTGTGGAGATTCCTAGATGGTAGTTTGATGTGCCCAAAGCCCTTTTCAGGCTCGTTCTCAAATCTTCAAATACTTCTATACAGCATCGGTGTATATGAGAAATGCTGCTTTGATGCATGCTAAGGTCATACCTTCGTCTGTGTGAGTTAAATTTTCAATGTATGTTAAGCGCCGTAAACCTGAGTATGAAAATTATGAATTTAATGTATCTTAGATAACAAGTGTAATTCTTGACTCACTAAATACTCCTATCACCGTAGTAGAATTTACCGATGCACTTAAGAACTTAAAAGAAACATGTGAAGGACCTGATAATATACCAGTTGTTTTTTTAAAACACCTTTAAATGCTAAACAACTTCTATTGAAAATATACAATAACATATGGTCTCAACATGTCTTTCGTGTGCGAAGCAATTATAATTCCTTTGCTGAAACCGGGCAAACCCAAATCTTGTGAAGAATCTTACAGACCCATATCCTCGAGAGTAGAAACGCACTTATTCCCGAGGAAAGTGGTTTTAGACAAAATAGGTTAACGATAGAAAATATTTTAGAACTTGAAAGTTTTATCCACGAAACTTTTGCACTAGACCAGAAATGTATTGCAATTTTCTTTGATATAAATAGGGCGTTCGACACCGCATGGAGACGTTATATATTAAATACCTGAATACACGGCTATCATAAGACCTATGCTAACATACGGTGCAGTTGTGTGGGTACCGAAAACCAAAAAAAATAACAGCTATCCGTAAACTAGAACAAATTCAAAGAACTGGCGAGAGCACATTAATAACTTAGTAGTCGAGTGTCAAAGTCGTCTTAATATACTAAAAGCCGTAGCCAATAAAAAGTGGGGAGCTGATGGCCCAACTCTTATGCTATTATATAAATCTTTAATCAGGTCACGTATTGATTATGGTGCAATTGCATACGATTCCTCTAACAGATCTAGATTAAACCAGTTAGAAACTATACAAAACTCAGTTTTTCGAATCATCTTAGGTGTCTTTAGAACCACACCTGTAAATAGCATGCAATGGGAACTAGGCGAACCTCCATTAAGTCTAAGAATAAAGCTTTTAAGTATCAATTACGCAGCCACTATGCTTGCTAATCCATCAAATCCAACTTTTACATACACTCATACTAATAGATTAGAAGGTGTTTTCTCGCAAAAACCAAGAGCAGCGAAGCCTTTTTATGAAAGAGTCAGAAGATACTTTGAGGAAATAGAAATATACAATATGAAACACACCATAGAACCCTGGCTAATTCCCATTCTTACCACCAATCGAGACCTATCCAAATATGATAAGCATAACACCAATACGACGATAATTACACCATCCCACAAATTTCTTTATAAACTCTCTCCACATACCAGCATCTTATCTGCAGAATTATACGCTATATACCGAGCTCTTATCCATATTAATAAAAGCCAATCGCAAACTCACAACAAATATATAATCCTCTTATACTCAATGCAACAACTATACTCCAAGCACCCAATTGTCCAAGACATCAAAACCGAGATCTTCATAGCCAACGACAGAGACAAGGAAATTGCCCTAATTTGGATACCCTCGCACATAGGCATTAGTGGTAACGAAGTAGCTGACCAGTGCGCTCACGAAACAATAACAGCCGATAACTCTCAAAGTATCCAAAAGGTATTAAGTGCGGATTTAAAAATTCATTTGAATCAACTACTAATAAATTTGTGGCAATCTCAGTGGAATCAGTGCGAGTCAAAATTAAGTGAAATCAAACCCACATATCAGAAGTGGTTGTGCTATCCCAACAAAAGAGAGAAGCAAGTGATAATGTCTCTTTTGCGCCTCGGCCACACAAGACGAGTATCTTATGAAAGGTGAACTAATCCCGATTTGCGAGGTTTGTGAAACGATTCTATCGGTTAAACATATTTTGACTGAGTGCGTGCACTTCACTGTCCAGAGAACAGACTGCAACCTACCCAACAATTTATTAAATATACTAAAGGAAACAAACTGTAATCATATTTTTAAATACCTAAAAGACATTAATATTTATAACCAAATATAAAAAATTGTTACATGCATAGACCGCTATTGCTAATAACTTTGTATGGTTGATGCAACTTTTTTTCAAATAAAAAAAAAATCTTGTAGTAGAACATTTTATCAAAAATAGGAGATGTAGGAAATTGTTTAGGAATGGTAATAAAATAAGCAATTATATTTAAAATGTGTTTATTAAATATATTATATGTTGCATTTATAATGTTCTATTATTAGCTACTCTCGTATAAACATAACATCAAAGTGACAAATTAATTCTTATTTTTTCAATGTTTATTTGCACAACTTCCAATTATGTAGTTTTCATATTTAATTATTCTATTAATAGCTACTCTCCTATAAACATAACATCAAAGTGATAAATTAATTCTTATTTTTTCAATGTTTATTTGCACAACTATTCCAATTATGTAGTTTTCTTATTTAATTATTCGGTGCGTTGAATTGTTCATGGGACAAAGCAATATAAGAACATTTTTTTATAAGAATATTTTTACCTTCACTCTTCATGTATTTACACATTATTGTTAAAAAAAATTATACAGATAGTTCGCCATTTTTCAATGACTTTTAGTTCTATTTACAATTTAGTGCCATAATTTAAAGATAGTTGAAACACCTATAATAACAACTAAGTGTCATTCATCATGGTCTAGGTACAATCAAATATAATATTTCTAAACTAATTTATTTTTGTTAGGTTATATGTTTGTTGAGTTTCGTTTTAGTTTGAACAGTTTCTAATCTGAGCCATTATTGCAGACAGTGGGAAGCGCAACCATAGCAGAAATTTCAATAAAGAAGACCGAACCAAAGTAGTGATGGTGTCTTCGTCCGACAGAGAAACTGTCAAAGCTGGTCCAGCTTACGATTCCGGTGTAGAATTATTTACACCGCCAACTCCTCAGAACTCAGGTATAGATCACCATAAAACCACCAAAAAAGCTTTTATTGCACCAGCACGTTTTTAAATTATTATGCATTCAGATTTGTTTGTATCTTGGGAAAATTCGCCAATGTTAAACAGATTTTTTAAATTTTCAGTTTTAACGAATTTAATATCTACATGGATCAATAAAAAATTTGTCAAAAGTATTCGAGTCATAATCCTGAATATAGTTTATATGTACCCCTTATTATTAAAGTAAAAAAAAAATATTTTAATTGAATTTCATTGATTTGTTTGTGAACTAGTATTAATGTTGAATGGTACATTTTAAATGTAGAATCTTTTATATCCAACTAAATTCTTAAAATACATTTTTAGCTAGTTTTTAAACCAAGACAGTTTAAAAGTAAATAGGAAAGAAGGAAATTAATATTACTCCAAAAATGTTTCACTAAATACTAAATTAGAATCATTCAGTGAGCTCAACATTAAAATCTGTTACTGTTAACGAGGACATCAAGTTTATCAAGCCCAATTTCATGTCTCCAAAGTAACCAAGAAGCATATCAACAATATTTATGTACTTATGAATTAGTCATTAATTTGGGCTACTGTTGAAGGATTGGAATTATCTCATAAGTCCATAACTGCTGTACTAATAATGTTTTTATTTCTTTATTCCATCCAGATGAGAACTATCCGCTTAAATAATTAATTAATTATTAAATATTTCACTTGCCACCAAATATTTGATACTCTGACTTTATTCTATTGATTTTTCACTTCCTTTCATCATTTCGCAGAATATTTCACCCTACTGGATACCAAAGTAAAGTAGACAAAGAAGCTATATACGGATATCATCTAAATCACATATTTTCATAGATAATTTTGAAATTAGCATTCTTCATTTGAAAATATTCTGTGAAGGAGTTTCTCTATACTTCGTATTGACTACGACTGGCCTATTCTATTAGGAAACCTTCTGTGGACTGAGAAAAAATTAAAATAGGTTAGATGCGTGTTATTGAAGTGTCTAATATAGTGTTTTGATATTAGCTATACGAGATGCAAACAAGGGTACTTCAAGGGTCACCTTTGACAATAACATAATTAATTTCCTACTATTAGATACTTCAAACTCTATATAGCGCATTACAGATAGTCTTTCAAGACCTGAATTATCCAAATTCAGACTTTGAAAGAGTTTACTCACAGAAGTTTTTAGACTATCTGAACGAACAACCAATTTGGTATTGGTATATTGATTTTTTTAAAGGATTTAATTTCAATATAGGTTTTTTTTCCACAAATACCTCTACCCAATGTTTCTTGACGTTATTATACTGAAAAGTGAATAATTTCTATTTATTTTATTTGATTGTTGTATTGTCCATTTCTTTCTACAGCGTATGACCTATCCACCTCCACTTTTTTATTATGTTTTTCTTCTGTGATGTTTAACCTCTAATATTTTCAACTTTAAACTATAAAGATCTTTAATCCTAATGTGTATTAAACACATTTTGCTGCTTTGATAACTAATTGATCCAGTAACTCCAAATAAAATATATAGAAAATTGTTAAATTTATTGAAATTTGTAAAGTAAAGCAATTTATATGATTCTTTTCTAATTTTAAAATCTTATGTAATGAAAACCTAAATTTCTTATATTGGCGAATAACCCTTTTTTAATTTAAATTTTTTGAATGTTCTTGTTTCAATTAATGTTTTTACTGTCTCAGTTGTGTTGTCGTTGTCATCTAGTGCAAAATCAGGTAATCAAAATAATAAAAAAAAAAATAGGTTATCTGATATTGCTACTAGCATTACGTGTTTGTTTTAATGTTTCTCTATTGCAATGGTAGCTCTTTTTTACTCTTATTTTAAAAATTCACGAGCTTGTCAACAAGAGAAGTTTTTTTTGTGCATTGAACTTTCTTTCATAAATTGTCTGATACAATTTTCATAAAAACTAATGACTTGATAGACACACCTGATCCTCATACTTAATAATTCAGGCCTTCAAGGTGTACCTACAGAGGTACATAAATAATTTTAGAAACGTGCTGGGTTTCATTTATTTAAAAAAAATGATCTATAACCTGCCAGAGGAATGATTAGGGAAATTTATAGTTAAATGAATAAAGAACACGATATAAGTATATTCTATAAAAAAAATACGATCAAGAATGAAAAATTGATATACATATAAACGGATTAGAGCCAATTTACTGATATATTCATAATGCTTTTTAATATTAAATTTTACATCTCAATTTTTGAAAGTAAAGAAGAGCTATTCGTTGTCTTTACCGCTCGCAAAATATGATGGCGTAGATTTAGATATAGGAAGTGATAAACTTCTTACATAAATATGTTAAAATACTGTTTTTAGTGAAATATAATCAGGATTGCACAATGCACAAGATTCTCTGTTGATTATCAATGAGTAATTTTATTATAACTTAAATTATGACTCCCCTGATCTTACTCCATTTGATTTTTACTTGCTCTCACAGACGAAAAAGGAGTTAAGAGGTCGCAAATTTAAGTTATATTTGGAGCTTAATAATACTGTAACAGACTTTTAAAGATTTGAAAGAAATTTATACATTGCTGTTAGATGGTTTCTCGCCACAAAGAAAACGATTACTTACTTATGACGCATTAAACTCTGAAGCACCGGGTGCCAGTTTTGATTCATAACCTTTTAATAATGTGTCAAAAGGACACGAGTAACACCAGTTGAAGATAGGGAATATTCCAGGAGTCAAGGCGCTTTTGACTCAAATCTCAATTACTACTGCTACAGTAAAGATGTTGTAAAGGGGTAAAAGAAAATACACGGTTAAGTTACTGCAATTATAAGCCAAAAAGTGAAATTAATAAGTCTATTACTTACGAAAACTATTTACAATTGTTTCCCAATAAAATAAATATTACAAAGCTCACCCTCGTGTATCCCTAAACAAAATATGCAGTCGGTAAAAGCGAGCAGTAAACATAAGTGTAGAAGATGTGAATATAAGAAGCTGGTTGCGAGGGGATGTCCACAGGGAGGGGTGCTATCACCTCTACTGTAAAATATGGTCCTCGACACCCTCATCAGCCGCCTCAACAATGACAGTCACTACACAATAGTAGCTCTAAAAATTATAGAGCAGTGGTGCAAGGACCATTCACTGTCTATCAATCCTAAGAAGACAAAAATGGTCCTTTTCACAAGGAAAAGGATGAAAATGGAATAAAAACCTCCAGAACTCCTAAACACAAAACTAAACTTTGTAACAGAGGTAAAGTACCTAGGTCTCACCTTTGACAGCAAGTTAACATGGAACTCGCATTAAGAAAACAGAGTTAAAAGAGCATACATTGCTTACACGGCTATCATAAGACCTATGCGTACATACGGTGCAGTTGTCTGAGTACCGAAAACCCAAAAATTAACTGATATCTGTAAACTAGAACAAATTCAAAGAACAGCATGTCTCAACATAACAGGAGCCATGAAAACAACACCGACCAGAGCTATGGAAGTCATTCTTAGTCTCACTCCCCTTGATATTTACATCGAGAAGGTTGTTCTGACGATAATGACACGCCTCCGCACGTTTGGAATAGAACCTGATGTAGGATCTGGTGAGGCGAGATGTCGCTTTTGGCAGGAGGCGCTCAATACGCTCCCACTGCTTCAAGCGATTATGGACTTCATCTCACCGAGATATATCTTCCATAAGCCATATAAAGTTAGAACAAATAGAAGAGCCGGAAGTGGCAGGTACGATTCATATCTACACCGACGGTTCTAAAACAGAACAAGGCTCAGGGTGTGGAATATACTCCAGATTCTTAAACCTAAACATAAAATGGGCTGTGAGCAATAGTGCAAGTGTAGTTCAAACAGAGGTGACTCGGATTCTCATAGCAGCAAAAGAAATAACCAGAAACAATATCACTGGAAGGAACATGCTCATCTATACAGATAGCAGACAAGCACTACGCACCCTGAACAGACCACGAATTTACTCAGGGTTAGTACTAGAATGTCACGAAGCTTTGGCCGAAGTATCCATCAACAATGTGGTCACCTTAAGATGGGTCAAAGGTCACGTCTTGCTGATTCACTAGTCAAGAAAGCAGCCAACTAAATACTTTTTGGACCTGGCCCTTTTATTGGCCTGACAAAACCGGTAGTGACAGACCTAATTAAAGAACATTACCTTGTGAAATTCAAGGAAAGATGGGATGAAACAAGAAACTGCAGAGTTGCTAGGAAGCTCCTAAGTTATCCTGACAACAGTGCAGCAAACAAATACTTGACTATGACTAGACTGATCATTGCCAAGTACGGAAGCATCTCCATATCATGGCGCTGTCAGAATCCGCACTCTGCAGAGGGTGCGAATAAGAAGATGAGACCATTGACCATATCCTTTACGATTGCTCGACGCTCTCATTTATTAGAAGATTTGTGTTCGGCGAGTATCGGCCGTTATAAGAGAAGTACCTCTTAACGACGTTGTCAACTACATTAAATCTGTAGGCTGGCTCACGAGCTAGGAGGTCGAATATACCAGGTACAACAGCTTAATTAATACGTTAATCTCTAATACACGAATATTTTTCTTAGGTTGTACAATAATTTCAAATTTCAAATCGACGTAAAAAACTAACTTGGGTGGGCTCTAGATGACAGATGATCTGTTTCAGTACCAATAAATCCCTCATCTGACTACAAAAGTGGCATGGCGTGTTTTTTATTTGCTATTTGTAGTAGGGTGGAGGAAATAAGGGAGCGAACAGCATGTACTATGTCCTGGTGGTGAAAACGTTCATGTGAATTGTAAAATTCAAATTAAAGTTGCTTATCGATGGATTTATTCGTTTTTTACTGACAATGAAATATACGCTTCTAGACGTAAATAAGAATAAAAAATCCCTTGGCAAGAGCATTTTTTGTAGCCCGGTTTTGCTACGTCCGGTTTAGGGATCGGACTATAGCTTAAACGCGTTTTTTCTAAATCTAAGATGATATTGCAAGTATTTTTTTGTATCGGTGAACGGGTTGATTAACAAAAAAAAGTATAAAATTGGAACCAAAAGTCGAAAACTGCTTTAATTACTCTCAAAATATATGTATACGTCTTAAATAGGAGTATTGTCCTTGCAAGCACTTTTTATGTAGTAGTTTTACTCTGGTCAAAAGCACCCAAGTTTTTCGAGTAGAGAGGGCATCGTGGTCTGCAGTCTTTTACGGCAAAACTGAAAATACAGGACGATTCGTAGATTTAATGTTTTTCGGATCGAACATTTTGTGTTTGCGAAGTTAAATGCATTCATAGAAGGCATTGAAACATAGTTTCATTATAATAACATGGAGAATAATCATGTAGTTTTTATAAATAAAATGATTTATCGTACCTATTCTACAGAACCAGTTATTTCATTATTTTTTGACAGATCCTCGTACTAAAATCCGTTTTTTGGAAGACGTGGCTGTGGCGCTTTCGACCAAGTCGGGAAAAGGGGCGATTTTAGTTTTATCTCAAGATTGCATTACCGCAATTCGAAGCTATTGATTTGGAACACACCAATTAAAATTACTCCGGCGTCGCTGAAAGTTTGATGTAAAAATTCTTGACTTGATAGTCTTTTAAAAAGTTTCCGCGAATACATATTAAGTAATATTGGTTATTTCAATTAGGTACGTGCTTCGAACTAATCACGAAAGTCCGTAAAAAAAACTCCGGTATAAATTTATAATTGTGCATTGAACCCCGCAGTTAAAATTAATAAACATTATAGAGTGACTGTTTAAAAAGTTTCATGTGTTTTTTTAAATTATTATTCTGCGGACGCTTTCATTCATTAGAAGATTTTTGTTCGGCGAGAATTGGCTAACAGCGGCCTGATATAAGAAGAGCATCTTTTGGCGACGTTGTCAACTAGATTAAATATGTAGACTGGGCTCACGAGCTAGGAGGATGCACAATGGGCCTAGTGAGGCTCAAGTGATGTGGGTTAACCCACTTTCCACACGCTACATTATGCAGTGCGAATGTGAAATAATTCTTCAGTATGGTAAAATGTTCTAGAAAATATTCATATTTTTATTTCAGACGAAGCACACTTCTACAAATAATTAATAATAATTAATAATTTTAAATGGCAACAGGAGTCGATTGCTAGCGCATTTGAAAGCGTTTTGAATTCTTTATTTAGCAGTTTAAATCATTTTAAATCCAATCAATACACCATAGTCGTACTATTTTATCTATATTTAGTTTATTTCTACAGTTTTTATTTAATTAAGTCAAAAACTCTTAGAAAAAACCACAGTCTGTCATCCACTGGAATTTTATTTTACACAAAAATTCTTAAGTTTTCATTAGCTTAAAAATGCAAATATAATTATAAAGTGGTAGAAAATCTGCAGTAATCTAAAGTTAGATAGATATCTTATAAAAATGTGGACATTTGTCTTACCACTAGATGAAATCCTTTTGACTTGGATGACAAATTATTTAAAAAAGAATTAAAATTATTTAAAAAAAAAATTAAAATTATTTCATAAAAATAAACTGCACCAATAAGTTGATGTATTTTTTTGGGTTAAACTTATTCAGTCTCCATCTAATAAATATGATACAAAAAAGAAATGACCCGACTAGATTTATCTAGATTTTGAATTCTGCACTCAAAAACAGTTATAAAATGGATGCGTTATATACAGGGTGAGTCAATCAAACGAGATGATTTCCAAAAATCATCTTTTGTAAAATGTAATGATGAAAACATAATCTACACGAATGGAAATTATGTGTAAGCGCACAATGGTTTATTTTTATAAATATTGAGCGTTAGGTACTCTCAATTTTGGCACACATTGCACAGCATTTCTAGCGGTATTTCAGCCACTTTAAATCGAATCTTTTTAATGTCTAGATAATCCTTGGGGGTTACTTTAAAAAACTTTTGTTTTCACATGTAGACAAGTTAAGAAAATGGGGGTGGCAAGAGAATGTCGCCGTTTTGGCTCATAAAAGGAATTGTTTTAAACATTAAATGCCCGTTTTTCACTCTACCAAGTATCCATGATTTAGAAAAACTTGTTTCTAGATATTTAACATCCTAATAATGCAACGATATTAGTTTGGCAGACGGTTACATAAGTGGTTTATATAATAAATACATTAGTATTTTTAACTTCTGCCACCTAAGAAAATGGCTTAAAAATCTCTACGGCTAGTTCCCTAACTATATTTAGAACAACCTCGATGGCCATGGTTAACGTATGTCCGTGCCCAAATGAATTAACTTGTATCGTGGATTATCCCAAGAAGGTGTCCTCAAACCAACATCTCTTTTTTATACCCATATCAAATACGAGATTGACCACCAAGACACAACCAAAAAAGGAAAATGATCTTAATGTACTCAAAGAAACTAGTTAATAATTTTGTGATTGGTGGAGATTACAACTCTAAAAATACAGCCAAATGAAAAGAATTGCACCGAGCTGCAGCAGACCTTGAATAAACGTATTAATATTCTCAAAACCCGACCTATTGGCCCACCGACCCAAATAAGATTCCAGATCTATTGAATTTATTCATTCTGAGAAATATCTCACCAAACTATACACTAGTGGAAGAAAAAGAAAAAGAAAAATGGAAAATAAAAATAAAAATAAATCAAACTAAACGTTGATTGAACAAAAACAAATAAAAATTACTTATAAAACCTACACGAATTAAATGAAAAGAACATATCAAAAATACATAAATAACTTTATCTTAAATTCAGGAAAAAGTAGCATAGAGATCTGAAAATTACTAACAGTCGAAAAAGAAATTAAGAAGTTTGCTGCGAAACATGAGGATCGACACCACTTCCACGTTTCTCGTCAATGAAGAAAGGCTGAAGTTATTGGACAGCTCTACACTCAATAGAAGACTCAAAAGAAAGAAGCAATTTGAACGTTAATATAAGTGCTAATGTAGAACAGTGTAATAAATCGTCACGTCCTAAAAATAATTATTAATAACTAATTAATTTTAAAATAAGTAATTAGTTTATAAGATTTTTAGTGTATTAGTCAATGACTAGTAACAATACTCAAACAAAAAAATTATAATTATTATTATTATCATATATTATAAAATCTGGAAAACATAATCAGTCAAACGCACCTGTATAAAAAAATCGAGATAACCATCTTCTACTTTTTGAAAAATAAGCGAATCATATATTCAGCTATGATGTGGAAAAATTCCAACGTGAATTCTAGGTATAAAGAACTTGTAACTGAATCTAATGATTCGTTTGAAGTATGTGAGGAATGCAACAATCTTTTAGGAAAATCGAAAGGCATTCGACGAAACCTGGAGCAAATCTGGCATCAGCCGCCACAAGAATTCAAACTGGTTTCAATAGCTGATTCGAGGGCCACCTCACATTATCTCTGTTAAAGTCCCGACGACCGAATGTTTGGGATTTTCACACATCTCTGTCATCGGATCCCTTTTAATTAAATGAGGGCCTTTTCGATTATTCACTGACGGACGCGAACACTTCTCTTCGATTATTTACTTTCTACCGAATCTATATTACAAGGGAAGGACACGAAACTTTCTGAGACGATTGTTCAATAAAATAAATCGCGTTTGTTCACACTATCTTTTCAGCCAATCTTTCTTTTGTATGTCCAATGATTAAACACAAAACTATTATTTCTAAACGTTCGTATACACAGAGTTGGTTTTAGAGTTGACCATCCACTTTGGAAGACTTCAGAAAAATGTTGTTTTAGTATTTTAGTATTAAGTAAAAAATCTTAGATTTTTTTGTATTATCTAATAAAGCCTCTACCACTACGGGTCATTAGCGTTTGAAAAATAAATCTAACTTCAAAGAGTATGCTATACAATGTATATACACGTGCACAAGTATATACACGAAACGAATGAAAACGTAGTTTTCATTTTGGCCTGGACAACCATCAGAGAAGAGCCAGATTTCATCCATTCCTTCTTAAATATGATTCTTGATATAGTGAAATATCATGGATGTCACCTCGTTTTGACCGCGCTTCGCCATCCCTTCATCACGTCACTGCTTCCGATGTCACGTATTCCAAACACATAATGCTAAAGTTGCCTGCTATAAAATACTTTGTTGTTAAATTGGGCAAAGGCAGATTCTGCATAAAATCGAAAGCTATTGCTGATACTTTACGATTGCCCAGAAATTTAATGCTGTTTATATATTTTAGTACATTATTTTTGTTCTCAATTTTCTCCGGTCTCTTTGTAACACCACTGGCCAAAGCCAGACTTACAGTAATGAAGAATTTCAGTAAAAAATCCCATGACAACCAAAGACCGTTCACATTTGAGTTGCTCTAACTGTACACTTGATTGTATACTCGTTCTAAAGTAGTACAAACTAGCGTAATTCTAAAAATAAAATTATCGACTACTGATATTTTAAATTCCAATGGCTTTCAAATAGATTTTTCTAGGTGGCATTCTTTGCGAACAACGTAAAACCTTTAAACGATAGTGACGAAAATCGGGATGAAAAGGATTCGCAAGAACGAATACTTCGCGATTACAGGTATAATCAATGGCGGCTAAAAATCGCTGTTCGCTAGATTCGAAAATAATAGGAAAGGAGAATTTAATGTTGCTAATAGAAGATCGTCACAATGCTGCGTTTTATTTGATAAATTCGATATAAAGAAAAAAAAGGCTAAGGAATTTTATTTTAAATATACAACTGATTATACCTTACAGAGTAATTTTTTTTGTCTAAAGGATTTTAGTCAATTATCCATTGCAATTTAATTTTTGATTGATTAATTTTAGGCAAAATGGCAATCAGTCGACATAGACATACTAAATTATTCAACTGCAGCCTTTGTAGATCTTTGTGGTTATCCATTTAGATCTATTTTATAAATGTCGGCTGTTAGCTTTTCTGCTGTCATATAATGCGAGTCCATCATATGTTTAAGATTTAAGAGAATCAGCAATCAGCTTTTTTTGCTAAATCAATGATGCTAGCAGTTCAGTTTTAAGAAACCCACTATTTATCTTTCTATCCCTGTTCATCAGTTCTGTTACACATAATTAGCGACTGTCTTGCCTGTTTCTTGGTTATTTTGTCTAACTTTTCAAGGATCTCAGTCCCAACGAGCGTGAGTGTCACTAGTTGTTATATTTTCTAATGGTTGGGATTAACATATAATCAGAATATATGACAAGGATTATAACACTGGTAAACAAAAATCCACTTGTTTTTGTGACATGAACAAAACAAAGTGTTTATTATGTAAAAATTGCCACAAAAGCAGAAAATAGCTACAGATTTCTTCTATCAGCTATAGTTTTTTGCTATGAGGTATTTTTGTTTTTTAAAAAAACAGCGATGGATATATTATTGTTATATTATTTTATTAACCAAACAATGCCTTAAAATGTTACTGTCGATGTTTTTCGGCGATATTTTGTTTTTGGAGTATCTCTTAACAATGTCCAGCAGTAATCGGTAAGCAAATTGGTACTCCACTTGCCTTGGTACCGTTTCTCCATAGCAAAAATGTCTTGGTGGAACCGTTCCCCATGTTCGTCACTTACCGCCCCTAAATTTTTGGGGAAGAAATCCAGATGGAGTCCAGAAAGTGAATTTTAAAGGAGATGTTACAAACCATTTCTTTAAAGGCAGTAAGTAGTTCAGTCACAAGATCTTTGTAATTGTCAGCTTTCACATTTCCAAGAAAATTTGCAATAACGCTTTCAAAAGCACTCCAGGCTCGTAGTTCCGTTTCATTGAGCATTTCCTCAAATGTTTTATCTTTTATTACTTCTATTTGCGGACCCACAAATATGCCCTCCTTAATTTTTGCTTCACTGATTCTTGGAAATTTTTGTTTCAGATACAAGAACCCTCTTCCATTTCTGTCCATTGCCTTAACAAATTTCTTCATTAAACCCAATTTATTATGCAAAGGTGGTAGTAATACCTTTTTGGGATCAACTAGGGGTTCATTGGTAACGTTTTTTTGTCCCGGAGTTAGTGCCTGACGTACTGGTCACTGCTTCTGTACATAATGACGGTATCTCGCACGGCTGTTCCATTCACAAAGGAAGCAACAATATTTCGTATATCCTAGTTGCATTCCAAGAAGGAAGGGCTATTACTTTTAGGTCTCCACATATTGCCCAACCATACTCATAACGGATGGGCTCTAAAAGAACTCTCATATTCTCATATTATTCGTTCATATGAACCGCATGAGCTAAGGGCACAGATGGATATTCGTTACCGTTATGAACCAATACCGCCTTTAAACTAAGTTTAGAGGAATCAATGAATAGACGCCAATCACGTGGATCATGTTTCTGTCCTAGTACGTTAAACAAAAGGTTAACTTCTATACAGTGTACTACCTTTTTCTGTAAAAAGTAATCTTTACATCACTTTGGAGAAGATTCCAACCTTTTAGTCTGGATACTAAAAGTTCTGACTGCGATTTTGAAACGCTTAGATCTCGAACATCTTGAACATCCTGGTAAATCAAATAAAGGATCGGTTGTCATTTCCTTTGCGGTTTCTGTAACATCACTTAAAGAATCAGTCGATTATAGTTCTTCATCGAGACTCCAAGATTCTGGTGCTTTTGGAATAGGAAGTTGTTCACTGTGTTTGACAGGTCTTAAAGCTGATGGTAAATTACAGTACTTAACCGTATGTTTAGACTTCAGTCCAATACCTTTAATATTCGTGAGGCAAAAATAGCAGTATGTAACATGGTCTTTAGATTCTCTCCGAACCATTGGCACTGCGAAGGGCATTTTACGATTTGAACCTTTTAACCAAGCTGTTAACAATGTTACACAAGTTTTACAATAGATTTAAGGGGTCCATGCTTTATCTTGATCCCCAATTTTAACATCAAAATACAGTTCGTAATCTTTTAGCTTAAGCGGAGTAAAATCACGTTTTTGCGATTTAAAAGTTAGTTCTCCGCACACATAACAAAAACTGTTGGCACTATTTACGCACTGCCTAAGCATTGTACCTAAAAATCTTGAAAAACAGTAATTTACAAAACGTAAAAGAATGTGAACTCAAAAACGTTTTGCTCTCCAAACACAGAAAACGTAACCAATTCGGATACCGTTAGTCTACTGATAAATTTTGTAAAATAAAATGATCGTAAAACACACTGCTTACTTCGAACAAGCAGGCAGAAACCGGTCTAAACCGGATAGATCCCTGATCATATGAAAATATGAGATGATGCAATATAATGAAATGTTACGTATTGTAAAATCTAAAGCCGCAGGTTACAGAATGTCTGTGAGTGATAGAAAAATTCTGTTTTCAGATTTGACTTCAGGGTATCAAACTGCATTAGAAACACCTAAAAAATTTCATGTCACAAATTATGTGTCTATCAGTGTAATTGACAGATAATAGTTTGTATCGAAAGAAGTTTGTTTTGCTATGGTAATACATGTACCACAGCAATAATACAATAATGTGGTATTGTCACTTATTAATAACAAAATTCAGCCAATTCTATTGGTCGAAAGCAACATCACATGACGTGAGAATTATATTCATACTTTAATACAGCCTTCGTGCCCTCGTAATAAAAGTGTATTATATTTTATGACGAAATAAATCACCTTCTATCATTTAACTTTTTAAGACGCTCTAGCTGTAATAACTGAGAAGAATAAAAATGAAATTTAAATCGACAAAATTTCAATGAAAATTTTAGCAATGAGACGTCTTCCATTATAGAACGAGCGTGAAATGTAGCAAAAACTATTAATTAAATTTTCTATTAGCTAACGCCTTACCCATTACGCTAACCATACGATTTACAACTTCATCTGCATATCAAGGAATATTGCTAACGAGAAAATGGCACCATTCCCAATTTTATTACGAAATCCCATTTTATTGGAAAAAAGATTATATTTAAAAATAGTTTTAATAATAAAGCATTGGTGGACTAGCTTTTCCTTTATATTACCATATTAAAAGTAATTTAATTAAAAATAAATTACTTTAAGAGTAAGTTATCCTTTGCACAAATGTGGTAACGTGTGTCGCAAAAGTTTGGGCACAAATGACAACTGTATGAAAAGAAATTTGTACCCAAAGACATAAATTATAATTGATTAGTGAGAAAATTTTACATATTTCCACATTCCCTGGGTAACAAATTATTAATGGAGGATTATTAGTAACCTTTACTTGAAACGAAATGGTGGTATGATTGATTGATTACAAGCCAGTTGCATTGATGGGATCCACATTAAGTAGTGGCAAAAATCGGATAATAATAATAATTTAATATTGGTCTGTACGTTAATCTGAAGGTGGCAGATATGAAGAAAATCCCTTGTTAAGAATAAATAACCCAACCAAGTATCAACTGAAGATAATACTA